GCCGGTGGGGGGGGGGGGGATGGCGGGATGGTGATGACCAACGAAGAGAGCCGAGTCCAAGAATGAGCCGTCTTGCCTCACCGCGAGGGCCAGGCATTTGACGCAAAAGACTTGAACAGATCAAGAACAAGATGTAGAGAGAAGACGAGAAGAGGAGGAAAACCAAAAAGTTCAGATTGAAAAACAAAGATGACGCCAGATGAACCGCCACAAAAGGGAGCTTCCAATTTCTCACTCGTGTCGGTCTTCTGGCCGAGGCCCTCGACTCGCGCACGCCTTGTTCCACTGACCGCCAATGCCGTCAGTTTCAGATCCATTGCTACCGACCAGACGAGTTGGTCCCGACTCGTCTGAAGCGGGCTCCCAAAAAAAAAAAAAAAAAAAAAAAACAGAGATAAGAGAAGCCACTCACACTCACTGCCCAGGATCAGGACGTCGCGCCTTATCGGCCACGCCAGACACGTTACAAGCGGAATTCTCCGCACCATCCGCAGGCGTGAATCAAATCTGCTGTGGCGGCCGCCGGCGCCAACCAAATTTGCCGCGGTCGCCGACGCCAGGGCCGAGACACCGACTTGTCTCGCCCTTTTACGTACTTTGGACGCTGGCCTTGCGTACTCGGCACAGAGACCAGAAGGCAGAAGAGAAGAGAGAGGCCGGGAAAAGTACCACTGCCCGTTGCCCGTTGCCGTCCAAGGAAATTGCAAGAAACAGACTGCTGGCATCTTGTCGTGAAACAGGCAGCCACATGCATCACGCTGCGGTCCGTTGCCTTTTTTCCCCTTGGATTTCTCTTGGAAACCCTCGCCTCTGTAGCGTAGCGTACCGTAGCTGCGCCCGCCTGTAAATTCCCTCAGGAGCCACTGTCCGGGTAAATCTTGTGCGCTTCTCTACATTTATCGATTCCGTCATTATCATTATCATTATCATTATCATCATCATTATTATTGTTTTTTTTTTTTTTAAAAAGACAGCGGGCTTTGCCCTTTCCCAAGGTATCGGAACAGACGGAATTGGCCACTCACATCCAGCGGAAACCTGCGTGCCAAGACTCTGGGGATCGTGGGGCGCAGGTGGGGTCGCTCCTTATCGGCGTGCCATGACGGGTCGAGAGCATGGCGACGCTGGCCAGCCAGTCACGTCAGTCAGGGCAATCGTCACTTGCCTCGTGCGGCGGAGGCAGTATTGTGCTCCTTATGCATTCTGCATCCTGCACGCCACATGTCCCCGGCCGCATGCTGCACTCTGAGCCCTGCGTCTGGGTCCGACTATCCATCAGATTCATATTACTCCGTACATGACATTACATTACATCACATTACACCCTGCTCTGTGGCCGCTCCGTACTTCCCAACATACATGCCGTCCTGGGTCGCGCACGCTCCTTGGCACCCGTTCGGCACTTGACAAGTTGCTTGCTTCCCTCTTGAGGCAATTCGCATCATCTCTGTGCTCCATCCTTTCGAAGCCACGTGAAAAGGGGCTGATTTCGCCTCTCCCCCCCCCCCCCGGACCTCCTCACACGGCACGGCCGGCTCACGTGTGCACGCACATACACCGCTTTTTGATGCAGCCGTCGACGACGACCAGTCAGGTGCTCTCTTGATCTCTCTGCATAGCCACGCCCGTTGTTTCTCCAACTCTCCCAGCGGCCTGGCTGGCGGCCTTGGACCCTGTGCCAACCGGCCGATACCCCTAACGCCTCCATTGCAACCGAAAGCACAAGGAAAGGAAAAAATAAAATAAAAAGAAACCCATGAAACCCGTCTGATGTGGCGCCGTCCGCGCGGCCATTCCAAAATGTCGTTAGCACATGTGGTAGTCGATTTGATACTCATCCCGTCGTCTCTCAACCATCCTGATCTGCATTGCCACAAACCATCCCTCTTCTTTTCTTGCCGAGAATTCGCCCTGAAAGCCCTTTATTCCTCTTCGACCTCCTCATCCCATTGTTCCTTTTCCTTCTTGATGAGATCTCCCATAATTTCAGGTTTGAAGATGGAGCTGTCCGGGTCCTGCTGCCTCGGCACTTTGCCTAGGTTCTCATCATCAAACACTGACCCTATTGTGTCGATCCAGCGCTTTCTTCGTTCCATCAGCGTTTTGGTCTGGTCTCCGATGCCTGGTCGAGCCGTGCCTGCAGCGCCCCCCACAAAATGGCTGCCGCCGCCTGCTCCGCCGGGACGTTTCGTCTTCTTGCTCTTGCCCATCGTGCGCGTCCGCTTCAGATACGCCGCTTGCACTTGAGAGTCGAGATCCTCGAGAATAGTCTGGTACTCCTGATGAGCCATCCGCTCACGAACCAATTCTGTTAACCGTGCCTTGCGAGCCCCGTTGATGAGCATTTGCTCCTTCAGCCGCGATTGTAACAGTCGTAGTCTGCCGGCAACCTCATCGTCGTAATGCCCGTCGTATTCGCTCTCAAACACCTCTTGGGGGAGGAAGCCAATGTGCCTCAACTCCTGCTTGAGCCGCTCGTCAACCTGCGCATACTCGAGTTTAGGATGTGTCGCCTTCTTCCAAGCTTCTGTGGACGACTCTGTCATATATGCCGCTGGCGGGAACGGGTTCGTTTTGTCTTCACCAGCCTGGTCCTCTCCGTTGGCTTCACCGTTCATGGCAACATCGCCATTAGTCACACCATTCATCATTGGCTTATCGTCAGGCCCCTGGGAACGACCCTCGGGTCGTAGCAGTTGCAACAGTCGTGAGGCCAGAGGTCCTATCGACAAGGAATCCGTCTCGCCGATGCTGTCACTCATGTTGTCTATGCTACCTCTGGGCTGATTGGGAGGAAGCTTATCGCGTCCCTGTTGTGGCGAGTCCATGGACAGGGCTCCGTCCTCTTCCGCCCAAACTTCCGTGTAGTGTCTCTTGCCCCGTTTGGGCATGACGAATGGCGTGACGCGATCACCCCGTTCCCGAAGAAACGCCAAGTCTTCTTCCGAAAAGGGTCTAAAGTATGGATCGATGTATGTTGAGAATGTGGAAAAGTTGATCTGACTGCTGGGTTTGGCACTACTAAAGTCATTGTCAGGCGGATCACCGGCAATGAGATTCGCGAGGTCATTTTTGGGATAAACCGCCACCGAGTATATCTCCCTCCTTTCCTCGTCAGACATGCCCTCGTGGACGGGCCGAATTTCGTAGACGGTCGGGTCAGGAAATGTGGACGGGTCTTCGCCAAAGGTTTGTGCCGCAGGAAGTTGCCGTTTCGGTGGTGCACCGTCGTCTTCAGAGCTCGATTCCTCATCGTCCTCATCGTCCTTGTCCTCCTCCTTCGCTTTCTTGTCGACGTCCATCGCAGACGGCGAGCCGGCAGCAGGCGGCGACAGAGACGAGCTCGCCGAGCCTCCTCGAGAGTGTTTACGCTTGGCGTCCTTGAGAGGTGATGATTGGTCTGTGGCTCATGTCTGTTAGCATATGTAGTGACGACAAAGGAGGCAGCGGTGCTTGCTCTATTAAATTGGAAGGCGGTTTTGACGATTGGTAAGTGCATACCGTCTGGTGCTAGAGAGTCGGAGCCCTTCTTTCTCTTGTGTTTGGACCGCCTGCATTCTTGCTCGCCATCAATGCGCATGTCGTTGTTGTCAGGTCTTTTCTTTCGTTCATCCGCGAGATGTCGCATGCCCCGGTCGTAGAAAGTAGATCGCTTTTCCATTATGTTTACTAGGTTTTTCAGTTTCTCTAGCATCACGTCGACGCTCTTGGAGTCGGGTACCGTCGCATTGACGGCGCTTTGGTCAACTAGATCATCATAACTAAGATTCCGAAATAGAATCACCCTCGTGTTAAGGTAGTCTGGGTCGTAGAATTCTTGAGGAGGCAAACTGGCTGGAGGCGCCGGGGCGGGAGTGGAATTGCGACTCTGCTTTGGCACCGCGGCCGTGTTCTTCTTGCCCGAACCGGCCTGACTCGAGCCGGGAGCCATGCTGGAAACTAATCAAAGATGAAGATAGCCTTTTCATGAACGCATTTGATGACACAAGGTACGAGGTGGTTTGGAGACGGACTGGGCTTGTCACACGAATGTCATCAAGGCCACCGTCGCGCCTGCACGCCACACAGCTGGCATTGTGATTGGCGCAAGTGGCAGAGGGGGCTTACAGGCGGCCGATCTGATGAGGTGCGGAGCCGGAAGAAAACCTTTTCCGCATTCTCCAGGAACTTTGGCTCGTCGGTACTGGAAAACTTGAAATATCTTTGTCCTCGAGATATCTTTAACATGGCGCGCAACATACGTCTCTTTGCATCCGTCCTCAGCACCCCGAGACTCACTCCTAAGTTGTGTCACTGGCGGAGCGCGTACGCGAAGGTGCAAATTGCACATGGCAGCCAACTTCTCCCGAGTCCCTGGTATCTCGATTAGAGACGGAGGTGCTGTGCAGTCTCTCCCACGCCGTCACTAGCCAGCATAGGCTCGGAATACGTCGCCGCAGCTTGAAAGTCGAGCCAGGTAAATTGAACCTTGAGTCTGGAAGTCCGGCGCAAATCCTCGCTGTCAAAGTACTCCGCCGTGTCCAGGAGCTTTGAGACATACACAATGGTACAAAATGGGTAAAGTGTTCCATGGCGTTGCTAATAATACGACGTTTCGTGCCGATTGTGACACATACTGCATTTGGCATCACCACGACTAATCTGAGCGTTCGGTACAGTTTGGCGTTGCTTCATCTGCAACACTACGTACTTCATTTTGTCTCTAGTGGAGTCGACGTCGATGTCAGCTACCTGTAATTTTGCCAGATGACGACGAGTCAGATTTCTCCATTGGATGCGCTGGTGGGATCCGTACTACCACGAGGAATATATGAAATGCCATCCACTCTTCAGTAGATGGCAACTCGACTGGTCTAGAGGCATGGCAAGTAGCAGAACTCGAGGATCAAGTACTAGTAGTAGTAGTACCAGTGAATGCGACGCTGAAGTGAAACAGTGACACCATTCATCTCTTGAGTCATTGCATCATAATGACAGCCCCTGCAGCACCGGTACGGAGCACGGCACGGCGCGGACTGCGCCGACTCCCAGGACTTTGAGGCAGCTGGGGAGCCATGGCGTAGAACCACTGGAAAATTTGTGGTGCGAAGCATGGCGCATCAATTTTCGAATACCTACTTATGTAGCAAACGGTAATGGTCCCTCCTTCTGAAGCTAGTGAATCGTCAACAGTGTTATTCTCCATGCCCATTTCAGGTTCAACGAAAACCACTCTGATCTAGTTAGTCGTCATTGGATTAAAGGACGAAGACGGGGAGAGGGTGCTGGAGGCATTATGTCACGTAGCATATAAGGTGACCAGGTCTACCACACAAAAAAGCGTGGCGAGGACCACGCCCATTTTTTTCGTGAGACACATTATAGACAAGTCGACTCTTTTCCATGAACAACCACGGACAAGTATTTGTAGTCGAGGGGGGCACCAGCATCGACGACTTGGCGATATTGCTGCTGTATAAGGGAAGTTTCCAACATGGGCTCCTCACCGTGATGTCGAAACAAGTCAGTAATGTAAGCTGGGGAATTTCTTGTTAGTTCCGTGATGAATCATCAAAAATGAGCTTCTGGTCAGTCGCGGGACCAGCAAGTCATGGGCGGCGTGGATGGGTTGTAGCGAAGCTACTTGCGACGGCGATAATCTGAGCAAAGCAAAGTGCATTCGCGCATGTACTCGGCATGGCCAGTCCTTGGAGACGTGTGCTGTGCTGATTTAGTCGGTCATGTCGCCAGAAGCCGAGGCGTGTCGACCCTTTTGCACGGCGAGTACCATTTATGCGTCATTGTCGAATCCTCCTCAACAGTACGGAGTAACAGTCGCAGGTCACAGACTCGAGGGTGTGTTGATTGCTCCGCGGACCACGTGCATCCTCAGGCACAATCCCATTGGCCCTCAGACATGCTGTCGCAGCCGGGGCAGTGGTGGACTCCAGCCTGGTGCCGGCAAAGCGCACCCAGCTTTCGCCAATCACCTCGCCGTGTTCCTGAGACGGTGAGACCTGCCCTGGGGTCCAATGTCCGTCCATGTCCTGAAATCCAATTGTTCCTGTTTATCAACCGCCTATGCGTCGGTTTCCCAACAGAAATTGGATGGAAACCGACTGGTGAGAACCGCCTGAAAGCGGATACTGTCCGAAGACAAGAAACGAGACGCTGGAGAAACGGGACAGGATGCTCAGTCGAGTCAGCTCAGGCGAGGCCGACCTGTTTCCTGTTTGCATTTTTCAGTTTTCCCGTCTCCGATCGACCACAGCACGAACCTCTGCTTCCGAAGCCAATTGGCCCGCCCGAATGCGCAAGAATCGATCTTCTATCCAGATGTCGAGCTCGTCTCGAGCTCGAGCTCGGCCAGCCTGATCGTCGTTGGGATGCACGTTGCACGACCATGTGCCCCGGCCATTGGCCCACGGGGTGCCTGGCGTGTGCTGGGGCGCCGTCGAAGCCCCGAGCCATGGGCATGGGATGGATGCCTTGACCCATTTCGACCCACGATGACCCCGAGATTTAAAGGTGGCTCAGGTTATTTGGTGGGGACCGGCTGCTGGCCGCTGGAGAGGCGGACCAGACGTGACTGTGACCGGGTAGCACTTGACGGCATGAAATCGCATTGTACAAGCATCCGGCACGGAAGAGGAACCAACACTGGGGACGAACGATGGGGGAAGTCGAGGCCATACATACGACTGCTCATGGGCTGTGACCGGCTTGTCGTCGCTTCCATGGCGGTTCGGAGTTTGGACACTGCCACGAGGCTTGTTTATTTACCCAAGTACGTTCATTAGTTCACGAGTCCCAGTCCTCCTCGCTCCAGCTCATGATTGACGTTTGAGAGGCCGCTCGTCTCAAAAGACGCCATTGTACGCTCCTGTGCACGGCGAACTGAGCGTGAAGCCACTGGCGAGTCACCCTAATCCACACCTTACATCTTGATGCTTCCCTGTGCGACCCTCGATGTCCCTTGACTTGCCTTGTCCTGTCCGTCTGTGGGTTGGAAGTCCCTAGTCCCCTCATCGATTTGTATCCTCAATATCAGTTGGTGTCTGTCCTGCTAGAGGTCAGGTCAGGGTCCCAGGATCATCTGCCCCCTATTCCATTTCACCAAGCCAAGTGACTATATATCACTTCGTCCCCAGCCCCCCTAGTCCGCCATTTCCTTCTCGTCACTTGTATCTCGAGTCACATTTGAGAACGTCTTTGATCTGAACCACTGTCTCTGCGGTTCTCAACGTTCAACAACCTCTGAGCTACTTTCAATTGACTTGGAACCTCATTGTCCTTTGAACAATGAGAGAATACCATGGCTTCTCATGTGAGTTTAAGTCTTCCTGCAGCTCTGCCCTCTCAATTGACAACCTTCTCCCCTTCCATGTGTTTGTTTTTACGTGACAAGCCCGCAAACTGAGGCAACAATCATCGCAGGGTGGTAACCTTATGCCTTTTGGCATTGATCTTCATGTTCAACCCATTTATGCTGGACTAGCAATTGCCGTCCTCGGGGGCGTTGCATTGTCCCGTCTTTCGTCTCGATCCAAGACCGATGACGACGGGGCCCCGGGTCTCGTACACTCTTTTTTTCTCTTCTTCTACTCCTCCTTCATAAAACCTCACCAGGGCGATTCCACGACCAACCAGCAGGACGCCCTGGAGAGCTTCTACAAGAAGCAGGCCGGTGCTTATGACTCCACTCGCAAGGTTCTCCTTCGAGGGCGCGAGGACATGCTGGGCTTGGTTGTTGCCCAGCTCAAGTCAAAGGCTGAACAAGCTACCGCCGCAGGTAAGAATCGGAACAAGCGGATATGGGTTGATGTAGGTGCTATGCTCCCCGAAATCTGCTTCTTACTCAGTGACACTAATCAAAAAATTTGGCTCAGATTGGCGGCGGCACTGGATGGAACATTGAGGCCATGGGACATTTTGTCAATGTTCCCGACTTCTTCACCAGTGTCTACCTCGTCGACCTTTCTCCGTCCTTGTGCGAGGTCGCTCGGAAGAGATTTGACAGACTAGGATGGAAGAATGTCACCGTCGTTTGCGAGGACGCTCGCAAATTTCGCCTTGAACACTACGAGACTGGCATGAGCCCAGCTCAGAATCCCCTTTGTTCTCCTGTTATCAGCTACTTCAGGCAGCAACGTCCCGAACACGGCGGCGCCGATCTCGTTACCATGTCGTACAGTTTGTCCATGATTGTGAGTTCTTGTCCCCATTAAAGAGACACAATCCCGTCTAGTGTCATGTCTTAACACGCTCATCCAGCCCGATTACTACTCCGTCATCGACTCCATCACGTCTTTAATTTCTCCTCATGGCATTTTCGGCGTCGTTGATTTCTACGTTCAGAACAGGGCTGACTTTGCTTTCCGCAACTATACTGGTGGTATCCTTGGCCGCCACGTCAACGCTGTCTCTAGACTGTTCTGGCGTGCCTGGTTTGACTTTGATCGTGTCGGTCTGGAGCCAAGCCGCCGTGACTACCTCGAATACAAGTTCGGCACCGTCCTCAACATCAACGGACGCAACAAAACCCTGGGTTACATTCCATACTACGTTTGGGTCGGCTGTCAGAAGAAACCATTCTCACCTTCGAGTCTGCCTCATGAAATTATTGAGCGGATTGACGCGCTGGCGACGGAATCTCCCTATCTTTACCCTGTCAACCAGGGCGATGCTCTGACGCGAGCGATTGAGAGGTCTGCCCCAGAAATCCGCTCCAAGGCCTTCATCACCGCCGTCCAGAATTTGTCCGCCAATCTGCCTCTTCCGTCATTCTTTTACCAGAACCACCACTGGCGTATCTACTACGACGATCAGTTGCAGAAGCACACTCAGTTCAAGGACGAGTACATTTATGCCTTCACGTGGGAAGATGCTCGTGTCGACGAACGCATTCTGAAGCTCGGTCCGGAAGACAAAGTTTTGGCAATCAGCTCTGCTGGTGACAACATTCTGTCGTATCTTGCCCAGAGTCCGGCTCGTGTCCACGCTGTTGATCTGAACCCGACCCAGAATCATCTTCTGGAACTGAAGGCTGCTTCGTACACTGCTCTCTCCTATGACGACTTCTGGATGATTTTCGGCGAGGGCAAGCATCCTGGGTTTCGTGACATTCTTGTCAACAAGTTGTCTCCTCACTTGTCTGCTCGAGCATTCCAGTTCTGGCTCAACAATACCCATGTCTTCCAGGATCAGAGCGGTTACGGCCTGTATGATACGGGTGGTTCTCGCCATGGAATCCGGGCCATGCGCTGGGTCTCCCGTCTCTTTGGTCTCCGGAGCACTGTGAAGAAGCTCCTCCAGGCAAAGACACTGAATGAACAGCGTGAAATTTGGCACCAGAAGATTCGACCTGCTTTGCTATCCAAGCTTGTGTGCAATCTTGTAGTTGCCCAAGAAAGCTTCCTCTGGACCGCCCTCGGCGTACCTAAGAATCAGCTCGCCATGATTGAGAAGGACCACGCCGAGTCCGACCTTGTCAAGGGTGACAAGCCTGCCGCAAAGAAGACCCGGTCTCACGCTATTTGGCACTACATGGTGAATACTCTCGATCCGGTCGCGGAGGAGACACACCTCGCCAAGGACAACCCGTACTACTACGTTTGCCTCGCTGGCCATTTTTCTCGCGACTGCCATCCGCACTACCTCGCTCCTCAAGTTCACGCCAAGCTTTCCAAGCCCGGCGCGCTGGACAGTCTTCGCATCCATACTGACGAGCTTGAGGAAGTCATTGCCCGTATCAGTCCTGGAACCCTTACAGTCGCCGTTGTCATGGACAGCATGGACTGGTTCGACCCTGGCTCCGCTGCCGCCGCTGCTCAAATCACGAAGCTGAACCGCGCCCTCAAGATGGGTGGCCGTGTCATGCTGCGTACTTCTGCTTTGACCCCTTGGTACATCCAGGTCTTTGAAGCCCATGGCTTCATGGCCAAGCGTCATGGTGGGAGAGTTGACGGTGCCTGTATCGACCGTGTCAATATGTATGCCAGCTGCTGGATTTGCACCAAGGTTGAGAACCTGCCACCACCAACTCCCGAAATGGACCGCATCGGCGGTCAGGAAATGCCCAGTTTGACTATTTGATTGTAGATACAACACCTGCAAGTCCCAAGTATTCGAAGAGACCCGGGTATTGTCCAACACTGTACCCTAGAAAGAAGAAAAAAACCATCCTAGCAGCCAGCTGAGCACGAGGCAAATAGCCGCACAATTCGGCAACGACGATAGAGAAAACGCAGCTCATACGGTGCGAAATGAAGTTGAGAGCTAGCGAGAGACAATTGGAAATAAAGACAGTAAGCTAGCGTTAGTTGAATATGAATAATGGCCACCTTTAAATGCACACAACATTCTATCTTGGACATGACTGTGCGCACGGTTGAACTTGTGGTCACCCTTTCCAACGTTACTGTCTGCGAAGTACAAGGTCAAATCTGGCACCGGAGAGCTCTTGGGGTGATTTTCTTCCTCTTGTTCTCAGGGCGCAACTCTGTGAGAGGTCAGTAGCCCAGTAGCACCTCCCGGGTGATCAGAGTCATGACGGTGCCACGGAGGTGCGAGCGACACGCGCACAATCCAGCTACTTCTCGAAAAGGAGAACAAGTTTCCGTTTCAACATCATCTATGCATACACGCGCGGAGACTCCCACGTCCCGTCCCAGGCGCACATTCCAAGATGGAAAAAGGGCCCAACGCTCCTTCTTGCCCTGTCTCTTTACACTTCCTACCCTGGTGCCTCTCCGGACCATAAATTATCCCCGAATTATGCTTTCCACACCCGCTTGATAGCCTCGGTGACACCGACGTCGTTCGTCTCGAACTCGTACAGACCGACACCGACGACGACGGTGGCGGCATTCAGCCCCCACCAGAACAGCTTGCGCAGACCGGGGTATCGCCTCTTGGGGATGTAGTCGATGACCACGGACTGGAAGCCAATGTGGGAGTGGATGAGGACGGCAGAGCAGAGAATCGCGTCCATGGTGGGGTTGAGCGAGCCCGAGGCAAAGGGGGCAATGGTGAGAGGCACCAGGCCGGCGGCGAGGAGGCGCTCAAACGTCCAGTGGTAGGAGCCATGGGCGGCAGAGGGCGGAGGAATGGGAGCAGGGTCGTTGACTATGAGACGCCGTTAGCTGGCGCTTGCGATTGGAATCACGGCGTGACGCGAGGTCGGGGGTCTGCGCGCGCGAAGGGGGGGGGGACACCGTACCTCCGCCCCCAATATGCTCTGTACATATGTCAGTGATGGGTCAATGGAGAGGCGAGAGAGGGAGCGGTACGCACGGGGTCCGGGCGGCAGGATGGCAGATCTGTTGCTCGAGATGTGGAAAGCCGCTGCTCTCATGGGCATGGCGCTTCTGACGGCGATTCTTGGGCGAGCCGCCAGCGCGGAGTGCCGCAGCAGCGAGGGGCGCACGATCGAGGCCATGGTCGTGATTGTTCGAGCCGGGCAGACCGCGAGTGGTGATGGTAGGTTTGACGCGGAATGGCGGAGTTTCGAAAGGCGCAGGCTGATGGTATTCGAACGGGGAGCTAGAAAGAAGCCGGGGCTTGGATGGAGGTTTGGGTTGGTTTGCCGAGGGAGTCGAAATACCAGGCTGCTGATTGGCTGGGCGAATCCCGACCGGCTTCATACAGCCGAATTGTCGGCGGCGCAATAACGTGCCTCCGCTGGACGGAGCTGATTGGGCCGGCATGTGGATTTTAGCTTTCGGGGCGCTTGTCTGACGGGAATGGACCAAAAAAAAAAAAAGTGACGAGCGCAGTGGTTGTCCTTTCGGTATTGGAATTTTACATTGCAACAGCACGTTGACTGTTTTCTTGACGCGCTCCCGGGGGGTCTCTTGGGCGCTGCCACTCGTTCTGGCTAGACTGGTCGGCATTCTGGACTTCGCAATGGTGCCGCGACTTCAAGCTTCAAGATGTTTGACCAGGTCTGGTGGTGCATCACGAGGCCTGATGTCGTTGTCGTGGTCAGCATGCGCGCCGCAGCAGACTAGGGGCGTCTCGACTTCGTTCCTGAACAAGGTTTCCGAGGGCGAGCAGCGGTGGGAGGAAAGAGCGCGGCAGATTCAAAAAGGGGAGCTGCCTCATGTTTGGGACGTCCTTGACGAGAGAGGATACATCAAGGATGTGGCTGGGTATGACGCCTTGTCCAGTGAGCATTGTCGTTTTGTTCGCCTTGCTAACTGCGAACGCAACAGCGTCCCGGACAAAATCAAAGAGATCATGCGCGTCAAAAGAATAGGCGCCTACGTCGGTGTCGACCCGACCGCCGACTCACTACACCTCGGGCATCTCCTCCCATTCATGCCTCTCTTCTGGCTCTGGTTCCACGGATACCCGGCCGTAACGCTCCTCGGCGGTGCCACGGCTCGAATTGGCGATCCCACCGGCCGGTTACAAAGTCGCGAGAACCTGACCAACTCGGAGATTTCGAAAAACGTCACCAAAATACACTACCAGCTCACGAGACTGTGGACAAACGCCGTGACGCTACGAGACAAGTACGGCTACAGAAAAGACTGGGCTGCAAAGCGCCACCTGTTGAACAACAACATGTGGCTCCAGGGCCTGTCAGTCTACGACTTCACGAAGCGGCTTGCGCGAAACACCCGAATCGGCCCTATGCTCTCCCGCGACACAGTGAAGCGCAAGTTGACCGAGGGCGATGGCATGTCCCTCGGAGAGTTCCTGTATCCGCTAATGCAGGGCTGGGACTTTTGGCACATGTACAACAAGCTGGGGATTCAGTTGCAGATCGGCGGCTCGGACCAGTACGGAAATATCGTGGCGGGTATCGATGCTCTGAAGATCATTCGCGACAGCGAAGAGGCGCCACATGCCAAGATGCCCACGGAGTGGCAGCACGAACCCCTGGGCTTCACCGTGCCTCTTCTTCTCGACTCGGCCGGCGCCAAGCTTGGCAAGAGCGCGGGCAACGCTGTGTGGTTGGACGAGTTCAAGACGCCGCCTTTTGAGCTCTACGGATATTTCATGCGCCGGCCAGATGACGAGGTGGAGAGGTTGTTGAAGCTGTTTACGTTTATGCCCATGACGAACATACAGGAAATCATGACGCAGCACTGGGCCGACCCGTCCAAGAGGGTCGCCCAGCATGCTCTCGCTTTTGAGGTTCTTTCCCTGGTTTATGGTTCTCAAAGGGCCCTGCAGGAAGCCCAGCAGCACAAGTTTAGGTTCGGCGGAGAGCTCCCACACGTCATCAACGAGCCCTCCCAGGACAGCGGCATCGTCACGGCCAACAACGCACCCCGAAGCGACATTCAGCTCCCCCAGTCCATAATGAAGCTTTCCCCGGCCAAGCTTCTTTTCGCAACCGGACTGGCTTCTAGCAACAGCGAGGGTCAGCGCCTCGTTACTCAGCAAGGCGCCTATGTGGCTGCCCAGCCAGGCCAGACTCGAGGCCTCGTGCCAGGAAACTTGTCTTGGACACCGATAAAGATGTGGTTCCCCGAAGAAACGGCCAAATACCTCATCGATGACAAGATTTTGATCCTCCGCAAAGGGAAGCACAACGTGCGCATCGTCGAACTAGTCTCCGACGAAGATTGGGAAGCCAGCGGAAAGATATACCCCGGACAGCCGTACACCGGCATGGTGCGCCGCATGGCAGAACAGTTGGAGAAAGAGGTTGAGACGGCTGGACAAAAGTTGAAGCCGAGCAAGATGAAGAAATTGCTTCGGGAGAAGGTGCGTGAGCAGCAGGCGCTCAGGGTAGCCAACAATCCTGACATTGAGCTGCCAAGCAAGGAGGAGATACGGCGGAGGAAATACATCCATAGCCGAGGGCGCCAGAACAAGTCCCAGTGGTAGATGAACTTGGGCAAGCGGCGGGGCGGGCGTGCGTATCGTGGATGCAGGACTCCGCCTGTAAGACTTTCATAACATTTTGTACAATTAGCCTGTAGCATGTCCCTGAAAGGAACACGGGGTTCCAATCTCATCTATACAGCACCGTAAGATCGCCCTTTGGAACAGGTAATGTCTTCAACTTATCCACGATCTCATCATTCGTCAGATTCTGCTCAGTAATGATTTGGTCAAAATGATGGCTGCCGTCGGTATACTTTTGCAACGGATCCCCTCCAGGTACAGGTCGACTCTCGCCCGACGCCAGCGCAGCGAGATACTGCTTTGAAAGGACATACTTGTGCACCCGGTACAAGCACCCCTTTATAATACCAAACTGCACGAACCGCCGGACATCAACGTAGTTTAACACATCAAAGCCAGCTTCTTGGCTACTCATGATCCACTCCTTTACGCTCTTACTAGGCGCAAAGGTGGACATGAGTTTGATAAGGTGGTAGTTGCTGACCCTGCCGCGCCCGTGGGAGACGTAGCCTGCGCACTCGTCCACAATTCCGTCTTCATTGCGGACGAAATCGTGGATGCCGGGCCGCGGGGCGTAGCAGGAGCTGAAGAAGAATATGTCGATGAGAAGAATGGTGTCGTAGTAGAGGAGGTGGCGGAGAGCTGATTTGGCGAGATCCAATGAGACGGAAGCGGCGTGTGCGATGCGACGCACATCCGTGACGCCGTCGATTTTGGCAACCACTTTTTGGAGAGTGAGGTCCCATGTTGGGTCGACGATTTCTGAGAACTTGACTTTGGCGACGGGGACGTGCCAGCCCTTGACGGTGGTCGGCGTGTGGTGATGAGGGAAGAGCTTCAAGTTGATGGTGTTTGCTTCGTCTGTACGACTCTGTTTGTAAGCAAAGAAAAGAAACAGAAAAAGAAAACGCGAGACATGTGATGAGGAGGAGTTGGGGATGGCGGGCTATGCTTACCGACCGGGATCATGCATTCGCCGTAATTGTTCAAGTCCTCCTTGACAATCTCCAACAAACTCTCAATAGGTCTTCTTGTCTCAAGATCTTTGAGCCCATCTCCCTCGCCCAGGCTGAGATACTCATTCTGCTTCTCCATCTCAGAGAAAGTGGCGGCGAGGTATCTCACAACGCCCTCATAAGGCGTCTGGTCGACGTCGGCGTCGATGAGGATGCCAAAGTTGAAAATGAACTCGTTGCGGAGGTACTTGGCGTGGGCGATGACAACGGGATAGCCGAGCACGGTGTACTTGCCATCCGGGGAGTTGATGGTCACGTAGCGGTTGCAAAAGGCCTGTCGAGGGATGATGTACTCGTGGAGGACGTCGAAGTCGATGAGGGGTTGGCGTGTGATGAGGCTCGTCTCAGAGGGGGTGATGCATCCTGGAGGAGATTGGGCTACAATTTTGGGACCTACGGATGGGAGAGTGAGTTGGTTGCGGAAAAGATTTTAATTTTATTTAAAAAAAATTTTTTTTTTTTTGGTATTTAGGGATATACGGTGTAGAGGCTTACCTTCCTGGGGAAAGAATCTTGCATAAAAAATGCCTTGAATCATGGTGGTGGTGGTGGTGGCTGCGATGGCATGAGATGAGAGTCGAGATGATGATGTGATCAAGGGGAGGAGGTGGAGGGGGGGGGACAACGAGATGGACTCACGCTGCAGGGGAACAAGGCATGTAAAAATTCATACTTGGGGTGGCCAGTAGATTGGACGCTGGAAAAAGAGCGGTTTGATATAGCGGGTTTGTGTTGTGGTGATTGCAGGTGTGGTGTTGCGAGACACTGATTCTAGCAATGAATGCGTGTGGGGCTCCGGCGCAGCTCTATTGTGCATGGCAGTTGGTTGGTCATTGCCAGCATACCGAGTACGTACTTTGAAGTTTGCAGTACTTACGGAGTACCTCTACTCGGTTCTCTGCACATCAGGTTGGTGTGCGTGGCGAGCGAGAAGGCAGGTGCGAGGTACTTCCAGATTTTTAGTAGTACCGTACTTGGCCAGCACACACATCATTTTCAACCTTCGAGGCAAGTGCTACGTAGCAGGGAAGGTACTCGGTGCGCAGATATCCGCCGCACCTTCCAACTCGCCGCAGTCTAGTCTGTCAATGCTGGGCAACATACTCGGTACAGTGTGACGGCATTTCTCCTCGTTGGCTTTGTCCTTTTCTTAGCCCAGATTCGGACCCGGCCACATTGTTCCGCCGACACCTCCAGACCCACGTCACGTTGAGCTGTCGAAGGCCGTGGGCCTTGGTCGAACATTTCCAGTCCGAACGCCGCCAACTGGTCTTGTGGTCCTTGGAAGACAGGCGCGTGGCCCACAGTGCTCCGTGCGGACTACCGACTGCGGACTGCGGATTACTACGGAGTGCTCCACGACTACGTACCAGGTGGCAGGGCCCAATCTGAAGCCTTTGGTCATGGGCCCACACCAGATAATCGCTGTTGCCCATTATTTCCTCATCCTGAACCGCAAAGCCCACGGCCGCAGCCCGCAGCCCTCAGATCCTGGACTGGTTTGTTCTTCTGTCCTCTATCAACTCACATTCCCCTAGCACCACCTCGGTCGGTTGAAGCCATTTGTCCGCCTCACCCTGTATCTATACTCGAACCCAGCGTCCGGACCGTCTGGAGAGCAAAGACCATCGCTTACCCTTCTTGGCCGGCTTCTCCAGTCCCAGTCGCAACCGTTTGCCTCCCCGCCAGGCGTCAAGCGTCCAACGCCAAACCTCAGCTGGTCGGGCAACGCTTCCCCATCGCCCACACAGCCGCAGACCAAATCAAGATCACTCGACGCTTCCGACCGCCTCGAGAAACAAGCAGTCGTCATGGCCGACAATGTCGAGACAAGTGGCGATAAGCAAGTCACCTTCAAGGTGAAGACGTCTTCTGACAGAAATCACACCATCACCATGGCCGAGTCAGCTACCGTGCTGGAGCTCAAGACCAAACTCGCTGGTGGCGAGTTCGAAGACATCCCTGTCCAGAGGCAACGCCTCATCTACTCTGGTCGCGTCATGAAGAACGATGATACCCTTGGATCCTACAGCATCAAGCAGAACAACACCATCCACATGGTCAAGAGCGCAGCCAGCAATCCGACCCAGCAGACCTCGACATCTGGTCCTACCCCGAGAGCCGTTCCAGACAATATTTCCGCTGGAACCAGCCCCAACGACCCCCTCGCCAACCTGACCGGCGCCCGTTATGCTGGCCATCAGATCAACTTTCCAGGCATGGACATGTTCGGCCCGGATGGCGGTGTACGCACTCCCTATCCAAGGCAACGAGTCCTCTGCCACCAATCATGCGCTAACTGATATTTCTAGATGGGTCCTCCTATGGACGAGGAGCGTATCCAACGCATGATGTCAGACCCCAACGTTCAGCAGTCCATGAACGAGGCCTTGAACAATCCCGACTTTGTCAACATGCTCATCGAGTCGAACCCGATGCTCCGAAACATGCCCAATGCGAGAGAAATAATCACCTCCCCGTTTATGCGACAGATGATGAGCAGCCCGCAGATGATGAACCAAGCCATGCGTATGCAACGAAGTATGCGCGGGGGGTACTCAGCCTTCCCTGCCCCCGGCGCCACTGATACCACGCCAGATGCTGCTGCCGGCGGCAATCGATCTGCTGGACAGGCGAGGAGCCCGATGCCAAATCCCATACTGCAAACTTTCATGATGCCCGGAACGATGGGCGGTGCTGGTGGCGCCGGTGGCACCGGCGGCAACAGCGCTTTGAACTTTGCCCAAATGCTCCAAAGCCTAAATGCCATGAGCCCCAGCCCGGCTGCCCAAGCCCCAACGACCAGCCCTCCTACCGCCGGAGCCACCCAAGGGACCACGCCAAGCTCAGAGTCCCGAGAGGGCCAGGGTGCTCCCCCAGACACTGGAGCGGCAGCTGGTGCTTCTCTGAACAATCAGACCCAAAGCGCTGCCAACCCCTTTGCTGCTTTGTTCTCCCCAGCGGCCAATCCGGACAACCTTTGGGGTGCGAACGCCGACGTGATCCAACAAATGATGCAGATGTTTGGAGGCGCAGGCGCAGGCAGTCCAGCCTCACCTCCTGATAATCGACCCCCGGAGGAGCGATATGCCGATCAGCTGCGCCAGCTGAACGATATGGGCTTCTGCGACTTTGACCGAAATGTTGCGGCTCTGCGGAGGAGCGGAGGCAGTGTGCAGGGCGCCGTCGAGCACTTGCTGAGCGCTACGGACTGATAGGCACGGTGAAGGAATTCAGAATGCAGGGTTTTATTTTCTAATCACGGAGTGTGGTACAGGGACAAATGCATGGTGATGACGACGACATTGCGTGCATTGGAGAGACGAAGCGGTATCAGTGTATAAGATTATTTTTCCACTTCGAGGATCAGATGGTGTATCTCAGGATTGATAGGAAGTACCTCAGCATGACAATACTATCACAATAATGCAACGGGAAAAGCAAAGGAGATGTACAGGCTGCATGACAGTAATGGCTAGGCCAGCGACCAGCGTAGTAGTTGTCACTCCGGCCCAGTGGCATGAATCAACCGACTCGAATGACATGCAAGCATGCAAGCAGACGCTACGGCTTGGCATCAACAAATCAAATACGGGGGATGTCTGATACTCGTGGTGCTCTACTGCCACTGGCCCTGGTTGAATGTGCACATCCCATTACCAGAATACCCTGCTCGCTCTGCCCCCGGTGGCTCCAACCTTGCACACGGCACCGCGATGATGCCGAGTGACATCATCGGGCGCAGATGTCGTCACGAACCCGGCACGGGGCGGCTGGGCATTCCAGAAATACTCTTTTCTTTCTTCTACAAAGACATTTAATCAGGCTCTCGAGACGGGCGACAAAGTCCAAGCAGCATCCTCGCTTGTCGCCTCTCTCGCACCAGGCGCCGGCAACCAAACTCCCAGCCGAGGCACAGGACTCATCCCAGTGCCCACTTCAGTGCTCATCACCGGGCTACATACCTAGCAGGCGCTGGCTTGACATACAAGCGCTACGAAATTTTTCCGCGAGGGACGCGCCACCAGCCGCGAACGATGGCAAGCGTGGCCAGGGCCATGCGAGGACTGATACCCCGACGACAGTGCGCCCAGGCGGCCCGGGGGCTCGCCTCGCGCGAGCGAAGGATGACGGGCGGCGGCGGCGTCGGGGCCAAGGGCCGCGTCGCGGGCGGAGAGGCGCTCGGGTCGACGGCGGCGGGGGCGCCGCGGAAACCAAAGGTGTTTAGTTTCAGCGTGCCCGGGGCGCCGGGGCAGGAGGAGGCGCTGAGCGAGGCGCAGAGGAGGGAGGTGGACGAGCATAACCGGGAGTTTGAGAGGACGCATGGCGGCGAGGGGGAGCGGCCCGAGAGAAAGGTGGATGAGAGATTCTGGAACGGCAAAGGGACGGAGAAGAAGAAGGGCGAGCAAGGAAAGGAGTGAGGTCTTGAGTCTTGACTGACTGCGGGGGCGTGTAGGTGCTTGCAGAGCGGTGCTGTTGACGGCGCCGCGAGGACGGTGCGCGTGCACACCTGGGGTGTTGACAATGTACGGTCATGTTTTTTGATTTGTTCTATTTTCGTCTTTTGGCTACCCTGGTTTGCTCATTACACATTAGGTGGTTTGACATGACTTCTTGGACGTGTGGTTGCGACGGCTTGTCCTTGTGCCTGGGGAAATTCTAAGCTGCCTGGTACCTTGTGGCCGAGAAAAATTGCCCCATGTTGGTCCCTGACGAGGGTCATGCCAAGGCGCATGTACATATTGCCCGCCTCATTACCGGCTTGGTGCCCAGCGGAAAGAAGAGCAAGCAGCACGTATACGTGGTGCTGCGATGTGACTTCGATCCTGTGCCCGTCCATGGAGAATGGCCGGAACAACGGCCGGCTGCGGTTCCTTGCATGGGCCAGCCACATCGCCGACGTGAAGCCAGTGCAACGGTCAAGAAGCATACACGGGGCCTCCTCGTCCACTGCAGTCCACGGCCACGGTTGTGTACAGCTTGTCGAGGCCAGTCATGAGAAGAAAAGCTGCATCCCGCACAGGCGAGCAACACAAGACCCAACTTTGTCCATGGCACACGTCGACTCGTCTCTTGTTCCTTGCGGCGCGAGGCTCAACCTCACGGTCGTCCCAAATTATTGGAGCCAGCAATGGCGCCGATGGCGCCCCGAACATAATCAACCAGCGCCTTCACCATGCCCTGCGGCTTGGGCTTGCCGTCGGCGCCGCGCAATGGCTCGGTGCCCATGGTAGGCAGTACGTTGTCGCTGGCAGACAAGCTGACGAAGAGCGCAAACGGGACCAGCCACACACAGAGGCCAAAGTAGGAGGCGATCATGGAGAAGCTTGGCAGGTCGGCCTGGTCGTAGTATGAGGATCGCTGGTACGCGCGCGTCTGGGCGTTGGAGAAGTATCGGAACCAGACGTAATGATGGACGAGGACCAAGACTTATCAACCGGGTCATTAGCTTCGCAAAGGGTAGGGGCAGACGCATCGCAGGGGTTTCCACATACCGCATGACAGCAGGAACAAAGGGTCAGACAGCTTCACAAACGGGAACCTTCGCATGTTGCCCAGGTAGACGACGTGAACGAAAACCCCGAGCACAGTCGCGCCAAAGGGGAATCCGTCCACCAGCCACAGGGCGAGCTGGACGCCGATGATGGTGTAGATGAGACGAGTGAGCAGGCGCTTGGCCATGACGGTGTGCTCTTCCACGAGCTCGGACAGGTAGTAGAGGCCGGATGCGATGGCGAGCGTCAGAAAGCAGAAGCCTCCAATGGCGCCTGCGTAGCCGATCAATGGAAGAATCCACATGGTTGCTTGTGGTTCTGGAAGACGATGAAGGCCAGGGGACGAGAGAGGCGGGAGGATAAAATGTATTATCGCCACGGCGGTCAAGGTGCGAGAGGAGCAAATGCTTTGGCGATGGACGGATGCATCGACGGTGGCATCCGATGAGCCAGGACCAGGATTCCGTGTTCCTTGGGCAGGAGCCAGGACACGTTCAGGGGCCACCCGCGCCTTCTGTTTCCAGCTTTCCGGAGCGGGGACACTGCATTCAGCGTGAACAATACCCAGCGAGTGCTTCCTTGAGCGTGCTTCCGCTTCCGAGCGTCGCAAAAATCCCACGGCGGGGGAAAGAAGTGGGAATCATGCGGGCTTAAATTGTCGACGGGGAAAAATAACCAAACAAAGAAATGTCCCAGCATGAGACGCCGTCATCTCCCGTCATCTCCGGTCATGCCTAGAGTGGTGCTATTCAACCTCATGTGCAGCCACGCAAGCCAAACGTGGCTAGTGCCAGTCTCGAGTCGTGCCCCGCACTGCCACCACCGCGCTTTATCGATAGCGCCGTAGTCCACCAAAACACTAAATAATATCGTCTTCCGCACACAAATCTGGCGCTTCGCTCTCATCACGACCACGCTCACAAAGCATAGCCAAACGCCAAACTCCCGCCCGTCATGTCCCGCCCCGAGGACACCCTGTATGCAACCCCCCCGGGGCTCCGCCTCCGCCTCCTTGGAGATTGTCAAAGACTAACATGGCGTTCCCCCAGCGCAGCCGACGTGCACTACGATGACGTCGAAGCCCGCAAATACACCACCAGCTCGCGGATCCAAAACATCCAGGCCTCCATGACCCGCCGGGCCCTCCAGCTCCTGGACCTCAAGTCGCCCTCGCTCATCCTCGACGTCGGCTGCGGCAGCGGTCTCTCGGGCGAGATCCTGTCCGCCACGGACCCCCGAGACGGCGGCCCCCACGCCTGGATCGGCATGGACGTCTCGCCCTCCATGCTGGACATCGCCCTGCAGCGCGACGTCCAGGGCGACCTGCTGCTCGCCGACATAGGCCAGGGCGTGCCGTTCCGCGCGGGCACATTCGACGCCGCCGTCAGCATCTCGGCCATCCAGTGGCTCTGCAGCGCCGAGAGCAGCGACGTCTCCCCCGCCGGCAGGCTGGCGCGCTTCTTCAACGGCCTCTACGCCTCCCTCAGGAGGGGCGGCCGCGCCGTCTGCCAGTTCTACCCCAAGAACGACCTCCAGAGGAACATGATCACCCAGGCCGCCGTCAAGGCCGGCTTCGGCGCCGGCATCCTCGAGGACGACCCCGGCACCAAGAACGTCAAGCTGTACCTCGTCCTCACGGTGGGCAGCGCCGCCGCCGCCGCCGCCGCAGGAGGCGCACCCGGCGACATCACCGGCGTCGTGGCCGGCCTGGACGACGTCGACATCGTGGACGCGCGGACCAAGCTCAGGGCCAGAAGGACCGCCGCGCCCTTGAAAAAGGGCACCAAGGCCTGGATCGTCAGGAAAAAGGAGCAGCTCGAAAGGAAGGGCAAGGTCGTCAAGGCTTCCTCCAAGTACACGGGACGAAAGCGCCGTCCTGCTTTTTAGACCTTTGTCAAGTCTGGGGTTTGGCAAACGACTTGCGTACGCGAGAGGCGGGAAATGGAATCCCAGCGGGTGGATGGGTCGTTTGGCATTTGGTACTGCGGGCATTGGGCATGGCGTTTCTGGGGACGACACGAGCAATCATCACATGGTCATGACGTCTAGTCACTGTACATAAGACATAAACAGTAGATACCCTTTTATGTTGAAACATTTATTTTCTCACGCTCTGCTCTTTAATTTTCGGTTTCGTCTGTTTCCCAACTCGGCTCGGGTGGTTGTCATCGGTGTCACTGGCTCCCCGACCAGAGCGCCATAAACTGTCAAGACCATGGCTACAGCTTCGCTCGATTCGTGAACCGCAGCAGTCCATCTAAAGTTTCATGTCTCTGCTTAATCTAGGCTACCTCATCTTTACTGAATTATTACCTCCGTTTCCCCTCTCGAGCCGTGCTATTCGGGCTTCATGGTGGGGAAGGCGAGAACCTCACGGATGCTGTAGTTGTCGGTCAAGAACATCATCATGCGGTCGATGCCCATACCCCAGCCGCCAGTGGGCGGCAGAGCGTGCTCGAGAGCCTGGCAGAAGGTTTCATCGGCCATCTGAGCCTCGTCGTCGCCCTGAGACTTCTGACGGGCCTGCTCCTCAAACCGGAGTCGCTGTTCGGCAGCAACGTTCAGCTCGGTGTAGGCGTTGACAATCTCCTTGGTGGAGACAAAGACCTCGAACCGCTCGCAGAGACCAGGCGTGGTGCGGGAGTCCTTGGCAAGGGGGGACATCATCTTGGGGTGGCCGATGATGAAGGTGGGGTTGACGGCCTGGGACTCGAGATACTCGCCGACGAGGGCGTCGAGCATACGGGCGTTGGTCAGAGGCGGGCTGCACTCGACGCCGGTCTTGGCCAGGACCTTCTTGAAGAATTGGTTGGCCTCTTGGGTGTGAAGAGCGTCGGCGGGAGGGAACTTCTCGCCCACGGCCTCCTCGAGCGCGGGAATCATTTCAATTCTTCGCCAGGGACCCTCCCAGTTGATGTTGAGCTCCTCGCCCTTGATGGTGTGGTAGACGGTCTTGTACGAGCCGTGAATGTGCTTGACCAGACCGCTAACCAGCTCCTCCGTCATGGTCATTAGGTCGTACACGTCAGCGTACGCCATGTAAAATTCAAGCGTGGTGAATTCTACACAACAGAAATGATTAGTCCGTGTGGTGTTTGGAGCCAATCAACTTACACCAGCTGCAAGGAGAACAAGGAATAAAGAACGAACCAGGGTTGTGGGTGAGATCCATGCTCTCGTTTCTAAACTGTCGTCCCATCTCGTAAACACGGTTAAGACCACCGACGACAAGCATCTTGAGGTACAGCTCGGGGGCAACACGCAGGAACATGTCCATGTTCAGGTCATTGTGATGGGTGATGAAAGGCCTGGCGGTAGCACCCCCAGCAATAGGGTTGAGCATGGGGGTCTGCACGGAGACGAAGTCGCGTTCGTCGAACCAGCGGCGGATGTATGAGTCGACCTTGGCACGGGTGATGAAGATTTGTCTTGACTTTTCGTTCATCATGAGATCCAGGTATCGCTGGCGGAAACGAGTCTCGGGGTTCTTGAAACCATAATGATCGTCGGGAATCTAGGTCGTGTGAGCGAGCAGGTCCAAGGTCGTGGCGGCAGGTCGACATGGGAAGGGAGAAATCATACCTGATGCAAGCAAGGAGACAGAAGAGTAACCTCCACGGCAGCAATTGATAGTTCGCCGGAATAATCACCCGCGCCCTGCTTGGTCTTGGGGTTTGTTCGGGTAGGAAAGCCACGAATGCCGATAATGTCACCTCGTCGGAGGTTCACGTGCTGATCGTCGAAGCTGGGGGCCTTGTCGTCGAGGTTGTCGGCCTGGGCGAGGACCTGAAGTCTGGTGCCGTCGGAGCGGATGTCGTAGAAGTAAAGCTTGGAACCAGCCGAGCGGCGGACGTAGATTCTTCCAGCCAGCTGGATCATCCTGGACTTGTCGGTCTCGCCATTCTTGAGGTGCTTGAAGTCATCTTCGAACTTGCGGATATCATAATCGACGTGGTACTGCATCAATCAGACCCAAGGTCCTCGCTGGTTGTGGGCTGGCTGCTGTGTGGCAGACGCAGTCGTGGGGGTTACCTACCTTGTGAGGGTAAGCCTTGCCCTGAGCATGAAGCTCGTTGACTGTTCGCGACCTAATCTCAAAGTACTAGAAGGGGTGACGGATGCAATGTCAGTCGACGGGACGTTTCGTCTCGTGGGCGCCGCGGCTGCGGTGCGAGGGCTTGAACGGATACGCGCGCACCTGGTTGGGAGTTAATTCCTTCTCAGCAGCCTCGGCGCTCTTGTTGCCGACCGCCTGGGGCTTGGGATTGGCAGCAGCCTTCTCCTTCTTGGCCGCCTCCTTTTCACGCAGCTTCTGACGCTTCTTGAGCTCGGTCTTGGAGATCATCTCGCCCGTGACTCCGTCGAGGTGAAGCTTGGCGACAGCGGCGGCGGCGTCCGCGACGGCGGGCTCGCCCGAGGCAGCCGAATTGTCAGGCATGGCGCAATTGGCGATTCGAGGGGGATCGACGGGACGGGACGTGTGCAATGGGTGCCAACGTGTGCTGCGGATGCAAGTTGTCGCTGTTCCGCGGGTTTTTGCCGCTTCGCAAGACGAGTCACGTTTGGGAGCGACAAACGGAGGGGCAGAAAAACACAGTCATGCCACGCACCCCGCCATACAAAAAAAGTTCAGAGTGCACAGGCTAACTGCCGACCTGGCCCGATTGGCCGGTTTCGCCGCCAGCCAGTCAGGGGCAATGCCATTGGTCCATTGCACCATTGGACTGTTGTGTCCAGTCTGTCTGGGGGCCCCTGAACCTTGGATGTGGCTTCCAGCTTCATCAACGCTCGCGTGCCATTGCCATGCAAAAACCACCCGACATCTCGCCACAGTTCGACTCATCCAAAAGCCGGCTCCTGCTTCGCGCCCTCACAGCTGCCCAGATACCCAACCCGATCCTTGGTATAAAACTCAACCCCAATCCTATTGCCCAGGCTCGCGGCCCCGCCGTCCAGCGAGCCCGCCTTGACGCACGCCATGTCGGGCATCACCTCGAGCTCGGTGTAGAGGCTCGATCCGCAGTTCCCGCAGAAGAAGCGCTTGTTGACCTTGCCCGAGTCGCCTCTTGCGTCCCAAGTCTTGGGCGTGCCTAGAACTCGTCAGCCACGACATGGCAAGTCGTCGCTCGCACCCCACGCCACGTACCCTTGGTGACCTGGAACGACCTCCGCGGCACAACAGCATTCGACGTGAACGCACCGCCAGTCCACTGCCACCGTCAGCATCTTTCCATTGTACGCCGACGCCCTCCCCGAGACCCCATGCCGTCAAACAAGACCGCGCCCGGGACTACGTACCTTCTGGCAGTCGGTGCAGTGGCACAACGCCGTCACCGCCGGCTCCCCCTCAAACTGGAATTCGATCTCCCGACACGCACAGCTGCCCTTTGTCGTCGTCATTTTCAGTTGCCGCAGGGTACGGGCCCTGTTGCAGATAAGTCGTCTCGTCCAAAAGCGGGACGCCCCAGATCTCGACATTTATCGCGATTCGATTCGCTCTGCCGCCTGTCGAGAGAGAAAGGTGTGCCCCGGGACCAGCGGACCGGCAGCACGTCTATTTATACTCGCGAGTCGCCGCTCGATGGAACGTGTCGCTGCGTGCAAACCAAGTGAATGCGGGGTTGTCAGCCAGACACGCTTGTGTGCCCTTTTAGTGGAAACCTTAGCACGGCCCGGTGACGGTTGGCCGAAATTCCCATCTGTTATCACTGTCTGTATTGTTTTTCCGCTGCGGCGGCAGATACGGCGCTCGACTGAACCCTGAGCATCCCGCTCCGCTTACCCGCCTCGCCTCGCCACTCCTCTTCTTGCTCGATCGAGTGACTCCCAGGCTCAGCACAGAGGTATCCGGCCCGCCCGAGGTCAAAGTGCTTAGCGAGTACTTCCGTAGGTAGCTGCCACGTAATGCGAAACTAAAGCAACCCAAGGCACAGGTGTGTTGCGGGGAACTGCGTCGGCTTCGTCTTCCGAGGCCAGCTGACATCAGACTCGTATATATAGCCTCGACTTTGTGAAAGAGACGTTGTGGGGCAGGCATCAATCGGACGGCCTCTCGTGAACTACGTATTCGTGATTTCAGCATTGACTCCAAATCAGATGTACTACGTAGTTCAGCGGGTTTTGTCCGCACTGATGGTGGTAGCTGTGGCGGCATCCATGCAGCTTTCTCCCCTCAAGACAGCCCTACACGACCTCATTGCATTCTGCGGTCATGGGAAACATTTCTATGCATTGATCAAAACGAAAAAAAAAAAAAAAGAGCTCATAGGTTGCGAGGCCATGCTGTACATTACACTGGTATTGGTCATCGCATCCTTGCCGCCATCTTTCCTGGCACGTGTAATGCCTTCAACACCTCCATTCTCCTTCTGCCAGTCGTCAAGTCTATATGTCGCCGCCCGAACTTCTATCTTGAGATATCAAATCATGTTCCAGTAGCTTCGCCGGACGAATCCGAAGAAATCGGCGGCAAACGTCCCAGTTTCTTTCCTATTTCCTGTTTCCTGCCGCCTGGGCTCAGAACGGCGTCACAAAGAGGGGAAAATGGCTGTTTAAATGGCCTCCATCTTATTGAGAATGGCCTTGGTGAACTCGTGGGTGGTGGATTCTCCGCCCATGTCGCGAGTGCGGACCTTGCTTTATGAATAGTCAGTTCCTGCTTTGCTTCTCTTGCCATCCCAAGACAGAGTTTTCCCGCAAATTGTACGTACCCCTCTGCAATGACAGCGTAGATAGCCTTGGAAATGCGGTTGGCGTGGTCATCGAGACCGAGGTGGCGCAGTAGCATGCTGCCAGACAAGATCAAAGCGGTAGGGTTGGCCTGGTCCTTGCCCTTGATATCAAGACCGACGTGTCGGCAACCAGGCTCGAAGACGGCGACATCACGGCCCATGTTGCAGCCGGGGACGATACCAGGACCGCCGACCAGAGCGGCGCCAATGTTGGACAGAATGCCACCGTACAGGTTAGGCATAACCATGACGTCGAACTGCTGAGGTCGGGAAACAGCTTGCATGGAGGCGTTGTCGACAATCATGTCGTTGACCTCGAGGGTAGGGTACTCCTTGGCAACGTTGTGGAAGGTGCTGCGGAACAGACCGTCGGCCAACTTCATGATGTTGGCCTTGTGGATGCAGGTCACCTTGGAGCGGCCATTGGCCAGGGCAAAAGAGAAGGCAAACTTGGCAATCCGCTCAGACTTGGCGCGGGTGATGATCTTGAGGGACTCGACGACGCCAGGGACGCTCTGGTGCTCAAGGCCTGAGTACTCTCCCTCAGTGTTCTCGCGGATAATGCACAAATCAACGTCCTTGTGGCGGGTCTCGTAGCCAGGGATGTTCTTGATCAAGCTGATGGAGGCGTAGATGTCAAGCTCCTGTCGCATGGCGACGTTGAAGCTTTGGTGGCCAGATCGGCTGATGGGAGTGTGCAGGATACCCTTGAGGCCTAGCTTGTTGCGCTTGAGGGATGCGACGGACTCGCGGAAAGCATCCTCGGTGCGGCCGGCGCCATCAATGATACCCGACACCTCGATCTGCTCCCATTCGATGGGGACGTTGTCGGCCTTGAAGATGGTCTTAACCGACTCGGCGACTTCGGCACCGATACCGTCACCGGGGATGAGGGTGACGGTGTACTTGCCGCCAAACTTGGCGGGCTTGAAGATGTCGGACTGGACGGTCGCGAAGGATCTACCGGACTGGCGCTGAGCGGCAGCGCTGCGCAAAAGCTGGGCAATTCAAGGTTAGTCAGTTAGCCAACCACTCGTTTGCGATGCGTCCATGTTGGGAAAGAAAAAAGAAAAAAAAAGACCAGTGCCGGTCGTGGGCGATTGCCGTGTCCGCCACCGCTGCTTCTCGATGTGGCCAGGTCTCGCACCCAAGCAAGCAGCTTTGACCCCATTCCCAACTGGTAACATCGCCCTACGCCTCCGCAAACAGGAGACAGCAATGCCCTCCGATCTCCAAGTAAACCTGTTGAATTCGCATCTCCCCGATACCGCCGCCAGCCCAGGCTCATCAAGTCTCGCATCTCTGACTTATGAAAATGCAAACCATACCTGCGCTGTTCTAGCAGAGCCACGCGACAACATTATGCTTGTAACCAAAAGAAAATCCAATTAACCGAAACGTCTTCGGCAGGCGACAGTGTAGACCACGGCAAAAAGAACCAATGGCGCCTCGGAGGAAAGTGTAGCGATACAGGGGGGAGACGAAGAGGAGACGAGAAGATAGGAGAGGGAAGAAAAAAAAGTCAAGGTTGGCTTGGTTGCAGGTGGTTAAAAAAAAAGGAAAGGAAAAGAAGCTTGGTGTCGACGATGGTGTGGTTCCTTCCGTACACCGTGGTCTGGCCGCCGGCTCTGCGCCTGGTTCGGCTCTCCGCGTCTAAAAAGGCTCGCATAGCCCGTGGACCGTAGCAAAGCTAAACTGGAGGCGCTGTCGTGCTACCCTTCCTACTCAAGTACCATGGGCCATCCGATTGGCCGCGGCCAAGTGTCCTCCAATTGAGTCAAGCGGCTCCTGCCCTTTACTGCATTTGCTTTGCTTTATTCATTTCTATTTTTTAAACTCGGCGCTTTCTCTTTCCGGGCGCTTGCTTGTCACGAAGCGTTGGAGTTACCTATTTTACTCATTTATTTGTTTCTCTACTCCTCTTGGCCGGCCCGCATGGAGGAGCATGGGCTGGTTCGGAAAAGGAGCGGAATTCGATCTGCTCCGAGCCTTAGAGCCGCATGCCGCGCGAAGTCTGCGTGCGGTTTAGGACCATGCGGACCCACTTTTTATTTTCTTTGGTTCTTTGAGTCTGGCTGGAGTGATAATACCGTGACGTGACTACACAGCCGCTGATAGCCTCGCAACCTTTGCTTCCTCGTCAAAAATACGACCCACAACCGTCACCTTGAATGGCATCTCTTCATATCGACTCTGACCGGTACAACGCACTGCAGACGTGCGCCACTCTAATCATGCATTTACCAGACAGCCTGTAAGAAATGACTCTACCAAAAATCACATCCGATATGCGCCTGCAGTCCATGGACCGTGGCCCACCGATTCCATCCCGTTTTCCTCTACCGCGAGCAAAGCATACACAACCAACGTTCAAGGCATAAATCACTCACATCAATGTACTTTCATCCGTCTTGCCCTTCTCGCAACCATGTCACATCTCTTCCTCGTCCAATGGCTCAACCCGGACAAGAATCTCTTCAAGCAATCCTTCCAAGAAGCTTCCGACCTCGCGTCCCATGCCCACAGGCTCTGCCTTGTCACACTGATCAATCTCCTTGCATACATGAGCCAGCTTGTACACTAGCTTTCGAATTTTTTCGTGCGCAGCCTCTGCTCGTTGCTGGCTTGCCGAGACCGGAGTACCATTTTGCACCGGTCCATACACTTGTTGTAGCCGAAACTGCCGTCTTTTAAGGGCTTCTTCGAGCGCAGGGAACATGACATCATTCAGCGCATCCAGCTCTCCATTTGGGTTTGCAGGAGCAGGAGATGGGAAGCATGACGGCTGAGCAGATACATCAGACGGTGCCGGTGAGTGAGGGTTTGGCGGAGGTGTGGGATTGCCTGCAGTAGGTGGCCGTTGTGACGGTGCTACTTGTTGAGAAGAAACCTTCGAAGCTGATGGCCCCCTGTATGGGGGTATTTCTGGAATCGTCATTGAAGGCATACGAGAGCTAGACGGCGTTGTGGGTGAGTCTTGCTGCGCTCGTGGAAGCGGGCTATCTGCGGAGAATTGTGACTGCTGGGGGAAGCCGGCTGAGGACGGGCACATGTTCAAGTTTAGCATGTTCATATCTCGCTGCAGCTGATTCGGGACTTCGTGGACATGTTCGAGTGCTTGTGATGTCGGCGCTGGCGGCAACGGTCGTTGCGGATGACGATGACTCAAAGGCGTGTCGGGCGTGTCGCGCGTCAAGGCCTGCATCGGACCTGCGGACGCCGGCAACTTGGTCGGTGATACTGCAGTCAGATTTGCTGGTACTGGCTTCCGTTGTGGACTTGACTGTCTTGATGTGGCGGGGTTACCAGCCTTGACCGTATCGCTGGCCTGTAGAGCAAAATCTCTGGTCTTTGTCGGGCTGGCATGGCGAAGTTTGTCGCCCTGGTCATTGTTGGCAGCGTCCAACGGCGCAGCGTCAGCCGTACTCTCATCACCCGCGTTAAGAACGGGTCGATGCACCAAGCCACCGCGATCCCCAACCAGCCTGACGGTGCCAAAGTCCCACACGTCCTCGTCCACCGTTCCTTGCTCCGTGTGAGCAGCACCCTCTTGGGCGTCCCAGTGTTCCTCATCCTCGCTCTTGTGTGTGACGGCCCATCGGCTATGTCTCTCAATAAGTTCTGTGAGATATGTCGTCTTTTTCGCTTTTCTGATAAAGGGGTGCCTCAAGAGATCTCTAGCTGTCGGCCGGTCCTTTGGGTCCCGCTGCAAACAGAGCTCAACAAAGTCCTTGAATGCCTTGGTGAAGTTGCCTTCCAGCCGCGGGGCAGGATTCTTCGGGATGAGAAATAGTACTTTCATAGGATGGATGTCGGCGTATGGCGGTTCGCCATTGGCCAGTTCCAGCGCAGTGATGCCCAGCGACCAAATGTCAGCCTTGTGATCGTAGCCGGATTGCTTGATAACCTCGGGGGCCATCCAGAACGGGGTCCCGACAAAAGTATTCTTCTTGGTCATGGTAGCAGACAGTTGGCCGGAGACACCAAAATCCGCCAGCTTGACCTGGCCGCCAGATCCAAGCAGGACGTTGGCAGCTGCTACGAGTCAGCCATTCGCCAGGAACCAAGGCCCTCGCGCCGTCCTCGGGCGTGCCCATCCTCCAAGTTGGAACCATACCTTTGATATCCCGATGCAACTTCTTATCGGAATGCAAATAATCCAACCCAAGCAACAGCTCCCTCAACATAATCGCAATGTAGTCTTCCCCAATCAAGCCTGGCTTCATCAAGTCCGCACAGCTGCCACCGGCACAAAACTCCATGACAATCCACAACTCTGCACCCTTGGCATACGAGCCATAGTACTTGGTGACGTACGGCGACTGCAGTTCGGACAGAATGGCGATTTCTTGAATAATGTCTTCGACTTCGTCCTCGGCGTTTTCGATGTCGATGATCTTGATGGCCACGGCCTGGCCGGTCCTTTTGTCGACTCTGTAGCCATGTCAGGGTGACTTTCGAATTAGTGGTAGCATGTGGGGAGGATATCAAAGACGAACCCTTTGTAGACCTTGCCAAAGCTCCCACCGCCTAGCCTTGTCAGCTCAATCACAGGGTCCGCGGCGGAAAAACGCAGACCGACCAATACAGTATTCCTTGGAGTACAATAGCTCCGGATCCAACGCCTCGTTGGCCTCCTCGTCACGCAGTCTCTCCGTCATGCTTGAAATGCGTCACGGGTCCGTCCGACGGGGTGATGAAAGCTGGCTGTGCGCTAGGCCCAGCCAGCACAAGAAAGCAAAAAGGAAGAAAATATAACGAGTAGTCGAATTCGGTCACCAACACATTGAGCAGGCGTTGATGCTCGCCGGTGTGGTTATCATTAATCGTGTGTAACCAGACGTCTTGGTTGGAACAGCCCCTCGTTTCGAAAGCTGATGCAAGTATATCGCCAATCGAGTGAATAACCCTGTGAAAAAAAGAAAATGTATGACAAAAAAAAGATGGGGAAGAAAACTCTATGAGAAGGAGGAAAATCAGAAACAGGGGCAGATCGGAAACAGGCAATGGTCTGCGCCTCACCTCTTCCCCATGCTTTCACCTGGACCAGACGGTTGTGGTGAACAAAACAAATCAATCGGCTTGCGTCGATCTGGTGGCCGTGTTTACAGACCAGTCCGGTCTGAATCTGGTCGGGTGGGTGGAGCAGCTGATGCCTCGCTGATGCTGATGCTGGCATTGACAAGGAACAATCTGAAGCTGGTTTGGCTGCGCTGCTCTGCTCCGCACGCCGCACAGAGCGCTCAAACATTGAAGCCAAGGAAGCTACCGTCACGGCCAATGGGCTCAAGCACTGGCCCTGACTCCGAGACAGCAAGGGGTCAACCAAGTCTGTCGCTGAAGCGTCTGGTCCGGTTACTTATAAGTACTTACTACTACTACTTACCTAGGTGCCTACTTAAGTACTTACCCAAGACTCAAGGGGCACTCGTACTTAGGTACGTAGTCCGAGTACCTAGTACTCAAGATGGCTACAGAGTGCTCCGCAGTTCCCAGGTAGTGGTAAGTTACCGTACCTGCGGCTGCAAGTAAGTGCCTTCGGCTAGGGCAAGTGAAACGGCGACGGCCAAGGAAACAACATCAGACAACTTGAACACAACACCAGACACGGTCGCATGCCCTACAGAATACGGAGTACGGAGTGCACAATACCAATTGCAATGCGCTGCCATGCAGCCGACTGCGCTGATGAAGAATGCAACAACATCAGGGTCTGCCCACTGCGTCCATATGTCGCACCTGGACGCTCCCTCCCTGTCAGGAACAATAACCAGCCCAAATGCCTATCCGTCTCTGAGCTACCAGACCAGACCTCATCCAATCGATCAATCGATGCCTCCAGTCTGTCTCCGAGTGCCCTGCCTATGTCACTTAGCCGACGCCCAGCAACGAACCAATCTCGGCAGCTTGCTTCGACCCTGTCTTCAGTGTTCACCCCCCTCACATGCCGAAGCCGCCTCTGGTGCAACCCGCCATTTCAGCTCGATTCACGGCTACCGCTCAAAAAGAAAAGGGCCTTTTCCTGTCATGTTCATTGTAGGGCAATGGGAACCTCTGCTCCATGTATATTCCTTTCCGTCAATAGTCCCTGCCTGCCAACGCCTGAGCACTGTCATAGAACCGTCTAATCAGTCGTAGAACCAAGCTAACCACGTCATGCATCAAGGACTTGCTCCTTGCAAAATATCCTTTTCATGAGGGCTGTAAGGAGGCCAGTCCGTCACAGACCATGAGCCAAATAAAAGAGACAAAAATCGTCTATAAGCAGACCTTCCATTGCTCCCCTACTCAACGCGTCCTGTCCTGAGAGATGTCAATCCTCAATAAATTCAATCATTACGGTGCCTTGTTTAAGGCCAGTCTCCTCAATGGTATTGTCCAGGTCTCCAATCAAATCCTGGCCCTGTGGCATCTTCTTCAGTTCAAACTCGACGCCTTGTTTGCCTTCCAACGGCTCGGCCTTGAGCCACTCATAAATCCGGCGGACTGGGTCTTGAAGATTGAATCGTCGAATGACACGTCCTGTGGGGTGTCTGAATTGTATTCTGGTTGTTGTTGTGGGATTATTCTCCGGTTCTGTGTGAGGTTTCCCACTGGATACCAGGGCGAAAACACTTTGCTGGGGTGCCACTTCAGGCTCTTTGCCCTTGCCGCTATCAACCACGCCATCGTCGGGACCCGGTGTTTTCGTCAAGGCATCTGGATCTTGGATGTTTGGTGTCGACGTCGATCGGCTGCTTTCGCCGCCACTAGCTGCAAGACTGTTCTTCAAGGCCATCTCCAGCATTTCGTCCTCAGTCATCCGGTCTACATCCACCACTATGGGCTTTCGCGTTGTCGACTTGGCAACAGGGTTCTTGCTATTGGCGGCAAGGCTGTACCTGTCGAGGAACTCGGCCAACTCAGCGTGGAAGTCGGCGGCAGTTGGAAAAGGCCGTCCACTCCATACTTTGACCTGTTCTCCGGTTCTGGGGTCGACGATGGACACATGTGGGTAGTTGTCTGGATTCTCGTGTGTTCTGTTGGGAAAGTAGAAGGTGATGTACTCTTCGGCGTCTGGGTAGTCCTTGTCATACTGTAAAAAGATAAAGTTCTCAGATATAAGCTCCTTAATCGCCGTATCTTTCCAAATATCTCGGTTGAGGGCTTGGCAATTGAAGTCGTTCATGTCTTGGAGATTGACCAAGATCCATTTCTTGTCTTCTTTCCCCAACGTTCTTGCTTCGTCCCAGCTAACTCGGGCCATCAGATCATACGGTGGTCGAAAGAGGTCCTCTAATCGTCGAGCGTGGGTTCCGTTTTCCGTGGTGCTAGGTGGCGTCATGCCAGGAACATCGCCCCAAATTCGCTGGGCAAACGGGCCGCCAGTACGAGCTGCATGACACAAGTGAGTAAGGGGATTTTGAAGGGTACCTAGAGGCAAAGAAGCTTCACGAAAGACAAGAAACTTACGGGGCGGATGTCTTCTACTCCGTAGCTGCTCCAAAAACCTTTGCGTCGTCTCGTCATCCACGGCACCATCCCAGGTAGAGTCCGGAGCAACCAGTGTTTCCGTCGTTCGCGCAATGGGAGCCCTGACATCATCGTGTACTCCCGGCCCGGCTGTGCCACCTTGGTACAGCTCCTCCTGCAGCCGCTTTGCCATGGCAGCGTCCTCCTCTTCCTGCGCCAGGGCAGCTGCATGTTGAGCTGCAGCTCTCTCGCCGTTATCGCCGCTTCCCGCACCATCATCTATCATTATGTCATCGTCGTCGTAGTCGTGGTCATCATCGTCGTCACTTATGTAAATGACACCGCTTGCATCCTCGCGGCCGATATTGGGACGGCGCCTCGTTGAAGATGTTGGGTTAGCAGGACCCGAGGTTGGTTCGGCTATGCCAGCTCCTAGACCAGAGGCAAGCTCGGGGTTTTCATAAAATAAACCAATGGCTCGCTCAAAATCCCCACTCGCTATCTGAAGAAACCCACGAGCAACATCCGCGGTAGCCCCGGTAATGGCGACAAAAGAAGAGATGGATCCGTCCATGTTTGCCACTGGCGATTCCGGACCGGTCGCTCACAAATGGTTGTCGTCGTCGGCGGTGGTCGTTGCGGTAGGCCTTGCCGCCCCTTGTCTGTCTCGTGACGCCTCCCAAGGTATTCTTGTCTTCGAGCAAAACGGATGGATTTGTGGTATGTTTTGACGGCGTGACTCGAAAGTCAGAAGGCCAGCTCGATTGCGCTTGGTCGTCCCAAAGTGCAACTGCTCTCTGCCCCTCACCTCGCCAATCGACAGTCCAGAGCTCGGTCGGTGAGTGGCGGTGGATGTTTGCCCAGGGTTTACGATCGGCCGCCGAGGTGCATACTGCACTTTCCAGCGCTGTAAAGTGAACCGAGGATGCAAAGGGCGGAAACAGAACGAAGTGCGAGTGCGATGAGATCGAATGGTTTTGTCTATTCTTGCGGAAGTGGAAGAGGAAGACGGGCCACGCTAGCGGGGAAACTCATCGGCTCAAGGGCAGACGGAAGGCTGACGTCGCAGGCAGGCAGGCAGGGCAGGCAGGCAGGCACCGGGGCCAATCCTGGCAGCTGTCAGCGCTTGGCAGACCGGCGTCATCAAATCAAATGACGCAACACCGGCGGTTCATTGTGTGAGCTCGTGCACCCAAAACGTCGCGTCACCACCTCACCTTGCAATCTCGCAACACTCTTCTATCTGGGCTGCCGAATCGAGACGATAAATATCTGTCCTACTCTCTCAATCTATGCTTGCTACCTCAGCTTTGAGCTTGGTGAATCTGCCCCAAAACCTCCCTCCACGCCCTCTGCACGTCGATGGATCTCTCCTCCTCTAGAGCGCTCTTGACATCATTCTCCAGCGAGCCCGGCAGATCCGCCTTCCCAAATACACCCCTGGACCTCGCATCTAGTATCTTGGATAGTGCTTGAACTCTCTGCGCTCGCTGGGATTCTGTGCCCGTCTCTCCTCTGTCAACATCCAGGCTCGCCGTGTAAGCAGCAAGTATCCCCGAGCCTTCAGACGGCAGGCGTGGTGAATCCATAATGTCTGTAAATTTTGCAGCATCCACCATGAGGTCATGCACACACTCGTACCATATTTCTCTCTTGATGAAGTCGAACCTCGCAGAAGCAAGATGAGGTTTCAAGATACGCATGACGTCCACAAGCGACACACGAATGTCAATTGTCTTGGAGCGGCTGTATCCTCTGGCAATGGCTTCAAAGGCGTTCCTGGCTGTCTTTGAGTCGAGGTCTTCCTTCTTATTCTCTTTGGAATCTACGTCCATCTTGTCTTCATCCTGCTGTTCTTCGAGGTATGGCAAAGTGATGTCGGCGATTTCCTTTAGCATATCTAGGTCGGGACGAGCCTTGGCAAACTTCCAGAGGCAGCGGAAGGCGAAGGGTCGGTATTCGTCGTTGTTGCGTTTTGCTTCTCTAATGGCAATCTTCTTCATCTGCACGGAGACCACACTGTCCTTGTCCCAGAGAGTCTCACCCCGTTCCACGAATAGAGGGTACGAGTCGAGTAGTTTCTCCTTCCCTGGAAATGTTTTCAAAGCCAAAGTCTTATCGAATAATGGCCAGATAGCCTTCAGATTGGCCTCGTCAATGGCCCCCGTGACTTCGCTAGCATTGGCCACATCAGCTACCATTGCAGCAACGGTGAACGCTCCTGTGTGCCGGATGGCCCACTGGGGGGTTTCCAGGCAGCGCTCTGCGAGGCCGACGATTTCTCGTACATATCTCGTGACAGTACGACTGCTTCCTGCGTGTTGGTTCCAGACCTCTTGGAACACTTTCCCCGTGTATTCATCAGTATCGTGAGAACCGAGATACGCAAAAGGCAAAAGCTGCGTTTCCTGGGCAGTGAAGTGATCAGGCGACACCTTGGCCACGGCAACAATTACGTCTGCAACCTTTTGCCGCCGGCTTTCATCCTCAGCTCGGAAATACATGTCAACGTAACGCTCGCAAAATCGGACCTTGGACGCATCGGGAGCGGCCCGTATCATGTAGGCGGATGCTCTGGCATATGCCTGGCTCACTTCATCGTTCTTATCCATCGTCTGCTTCTCCAAAATCTGCAACAATTTGGCCGCAACTGGTTGGGTATCATTGCTGTGACGAGTAGCAAGTGTTGTGATGACCCTGCTACATCCTATCTTCGTCGGCATCCCAATCGCGTTCTTAATTGTAGCCTCAAATTTTGGAGCAAAGTTTGTCATGACTTCAGGGTCGACGAATCGGAGACAATTTTCAATTGCCTCTGAAATCGGAGACTGGTTCACCATCTGCGACCGTATCTTGTCAATCTGGTCCCGACTCTCTAAGCCAGCACGCTGATAGGCGTAGTTGATCTGCTGCGGTTCAATTGTGCTCAGTAAGCCGAGGAGCCGCGGAATCATGTCCGGAATGAAGGGTTTGAGCGCATTACCGCCGTGCTTGGCAATCTTCATAACGGTAACGGTAGCGAATAATTGGACGTCCTGCACCGTACTCTCGATACCCTTATCTGATAGCAAAAACGGAAGAGCTTCTTGCATCATTGCCTTTGCAGCAACGGCATGGTTGCCTTCTTCCAACTGTCGAACTAGCCCATTCGATAACGCCATGCAGAGTCGCGAAGCAGCTTCCCTTACACTGCCCTTGACATCATCCAAAACCTTCAATGCCGAGGTCCATACTTCCCGATAATACTCTTCGTACTGTCGGAATGGTCGACCCTGAATAAGGTCAGAGATGGCCGCGCAGCTGGCTTCTCTGACTCGCCACTCCCTCCCCAGAATGCTTCTTAAGAGGTCTTGAATGATTGCGTCGAAGTGATGATCAATGGTAGCATTTGAATCCTTGACGAGAGCTTTCCAAATATCGTCCATTGACCGCTGGACATTTCCGTTGGGGTCAAATCGATATCTATACAACTTGGGAAACAGCTTCGGATCAACCTCTGATTCGGACAGAATATCGCTGAGCCCAAATCGACCGAACGCGGATCTGGTAGACCAAGTAGCTGCATTGGCAGCAAGGGACATGAACTTGTAAACCAGCCGTTGATCTCCGACTTCATTGGCCAAATTGACAATATCCTTGTACGAGGTGACAGAGTTGCCCTCGCCTGTAGGTAACGCCCCCGGATCAAATAGCTCGGTCTCCTCCTCTACCTTGAGTTGGGTTCCGCTACCAGTGAAGGCGGAGACTAGGTCCTTAACCAACGCCGATTTGAGCTCTGCGTCACCACGCTCGTATACCAATGACAGCCCGCGAGATGCTGTCTCTTGTACAAGCTCGTCTCTTGCGCTCAAAAGTCTCATGAAGGCTGCTTGTATTTCCCGAAGTCGTGACTGCACCTCGGAAAGGTGGGAACTGAACTGCACAATAGAGAAAAGCCAAATGCCGGAAGCCTTCAGCAAAGATGGCTTCGTAGCTTTGGCATCTTGCAAGAGCTTTTTCAGCGCTGCTTCAATGAGAGGTCCTCGAGCGCCTGCAAAGCTAGCCGGGTTTCTAGCTTCAACATCCATCCTTAGCTTGACGCTATTGGAATCCCATCTCGCTACTGCGGCCGTAATAGCGTCGCCGACAGTGAATTGGACCTCGACTCGCTTGATTTCATGAAGGGAGAACAAACTTTTGAGAATGTCTCCCAGGGCACCAGTAAATGCATCCCCTCCTGCTTGATTACTGCCATCTGCCTCCAATCCTGTGGCGAGACTCCCCAGCGCTCTAATTGCTTTCTCGTTGGCCTTCTTTGCTTCCGAGGTCAGCTTTTCGATAACTTTTGCTAACGAGTGCTCCCCTTCCATGGGGGGAATTGCCAGTTTAGCGACCCATAGCTGAGAAAAGGCTTCCAGAGCTGAGTCGTTGAGAGATTTATGCACTGCCTCCTTCACTAACAGATGGAATGGGTATTCGGTAGGTGCAGAGAATGGACGGTCGTAGTACACAGACCGCGATATCAAATGACTGAACGCAAGCAAGGATCCCTCAGCAGCATTTGCTTCGGTACCAACCAGACTTTCCGCGTTTGCAAACGACGACTGTAGAGCCATAGCCCAGTGACTGACAGAGTCGGCATCATTGGCTGGGTGAGCTACAAGAACCCCAAGGGCTCTTGCGGCCAACGACCGAATCTCTCTGTTGTTTGACTTAATCAAGGGTAACAAATTCGTACTTGTATCCGTGAGATAGCCCAGTGGGCCGCCAGGGCTCCAAGTGGCCATCTGAACAAAGCACCTAAGACACTCTTCCACGATGGATGAGCCTTCTATGAATGCGCCCTCCAAGCAAGCTTTAAGATAGAAGACGATGTAACCACTGTCAACGGACCGTAGATATCCGCGTGCCCTGTCCCTTGTTGCTACGTCCGTCGTGATTTGCGCATCCAGTATCTGCATCCAGTCCGGTTTGATATCAAAGTCATGAAGAGCTGCGAGGAGCATCATTTTTTTGCAATACTGAAGAGCTACTGGAAAAGCCGCAAGACGGGATCCTTGGAAGTTTTGGAATACGGCCTTGTCTGGAACAACGACACTGTGAGAATTTCCTTGCTGCTCATTGCGAAGATGTGGCTCAATGGCTAGGCCGAAGTACGTAGTCATCATTTCTTTCCAGTCAGGTAGTTGCGGGCTTGTGTCGGTATGTGCAAAATACGTCCACGGGTCCAGCCCCTTTTGTCCCTGTTCAATGACGTCGTTACGCTCATTATTTCTACCCGCAATAGCCAAGATACAGATCCAACGAGCAACGACGTCCGAGAACGGGAGGCACTGGTTCGCCCACTTCACAGCGGCGTGTCTGGTACTTCGAACAGCAGGCGCTGCATCGGGTAGTGACATGTACGTCAGAAGCATTTTCTTCAGTTCAGAATCAGCGCCGCCGACACTGGGAGAAATAGCTGCCGCTAAGCTCGAAAGTGCCCCATCGATATTGACAACAGCCTCCCCGGTGTTGTCTTCTGACAGGGAGCGGAAGAGCCAAGCACCGAGATCGAAGCGCTCTTTGGCTGGCAGATCTGCGCTTCGTGCTACCATGCCGATAGTTTCGTAGGCTCTGCTTCGCAAAGCGACATCGTCGTGTGATGCCTGCTCCGGAACGGGCCATCCCTGGCTCTCGATGTAAGACCGCATGGCGCGGATGAGGGCCGGCCCAATAGTGAATTCTGACCTTGCTGGGCCTACTTGAGCTACCCACGATAAGAACTGAAAAAGAGCCTTGTGTAGCTTTGTTCTCTCGAGGACACTGGCCGGCTGCAGGGAAGAAGTGCTATCAGCAGTCTGCGGCAAGAAGTCCAGTTTCACGACAGCCATTATGCTATCAGACTTTTCGGTGGCAAGGGTTGACTTGGACAAGATTGACAGAATACGCGCACGATATGGCGCTGGAAGATGAGAATGTGCTCGAAATAGACGTTGCACGAGGTCCGCGTCCTCCATGGAAACAGTGCTTCTTTTGATAATCTCCTCTGCTGTAGAGGCCACTCTATTGTCGGGGCCTGCTGCGGCAAACAGCGCAGGGAGAAACCGCTCCTCGTCTTTGAAAGCTCCGCTGGCCAGTAGTGTGACCAACTTGGATTTCAGTTCCGTGGTTCGTTTGAATATCTTCTCGTTCTCAGGAGACTCAGCAGGAAAGAGACTCAGTTCCGTTCGAGACAGGGCTGGATTCGATTGTGCTAAATTTTGTCCCGAGTTGCTTGGTGTCCTGAGACGCAGAAAGATGCCAATGGCTCTGGCGAGAGATTGCGCATCAGCATCGTCTCCAAGACCAATGGCGGTTCTCAAAGTCTCATCGTCCTTGCTCCCTCGAGGAGGTATGCGAAAATCCAGCAGGAGTCTGAGAACGATGTTGAACATGGTTGCCGCCCGCGGTTGTCCCTCATCCAGCGCAAAACCTGCCAATGCAACCGAGACGAGGTTCCTTCTGTCGTCCACGTCGAGTCTGTCTAGACTGTGTAATATGAAGGACAGGTCCAATTGCTTAATGACGCCAGAATCCGTGGATTTGTATTGTTGCAGCAGTGCTTTGACTGGCAACACAATCCTAATTTCACGTCAACTGATAAGTTTGTCTTGAGGCAAGGTCGAGGGCACATACTCTGGAGACTGAATAAAAGTTTTCAGACGTGCAAGGATTTGGATAACCTGTTGTTCAAAGTCAACCATGTTTTCTCTGCCCGGGGCCATGCAGGCACTACACTTCATACCCTCGCGCGGACCGCGGCGTGATCGCTCGCCGCCTTCAGGATTAAGGGCACCAGATACCGCTGTAGCAGCTGGTTCAGCTTATCTTCCTTGTTTGCAACACCCAATATCTTAAACTCGACGCTTTCTACCAGTTGCAGCTCACGCTGCTCCGTGGATGTAGCGGCCATGGTGAACGGGCAGCAGAGCTGTTGAGGGGTCTCGAAATGCTCATCAACGGGAAACAAGGAACAAGACGACAGAGAAAAATAGAATTAGATTTCCTTCAAAGACCTGAGCAGCATAGAGACCCTACGCACATGCAATATATTCGCGAAAGGCTGGCAACCTCTGGCCATGGTGGGTTCAGACGGTTTGATAGATTCCAGCCAGCAGCACTGACGCGACGTCTCCAGAGACCATGACTAAGCAAGCGCAAGCATCACCAGCTGGCAGCCCGCAGGCGGCAGGGAACTAACAGGCGACGAGGCGACGAGGCGACGAGGCGGTCAACAGAATATTTGGAGGGCAAACAAAACCAAGGGTCTCCAATGCGAGGCATACATGCATATATCCTCCATGCGATGGTCCTTGGTGGTCGAACCGAGGTCGCTAGAATATCATGCCTATGCGCCAGCGAGCGTCGGTTGGCTAGCAAACCGTCGAGGACTCGAGGGTGGCCAGGAGGAGCGTATAAGAATGGACTATACGTCTTGACAGCACACCGTGTCCTCACGATCAAATGAACATACAGTCAAATGTCCCAGCTGGCAGAGAAAAGGAATATTGGTGCCACCCAAGTGTTCCAGGAACATGCCTACTTTCCACGAAAAGCTGATGGACTGTGAGCTGTCTACCACAAAGGTGACGAGGTACGTAGGTATGTTCAGTATACGATCTAGGCGGCGCCGCGGCGGGTTGTTTTGTTTTCTCATTCCCAAGCCCCTTACGACCTGACCAAATATAAGTTCTCGCAAGGTTCCCGACAGGACGACGTCGAGTCCTGTTGTCCGCGTAGGCAGTAGTTGAGAAAACTGGGTGCATCCGTACGTGACCTGCCGACAAACAAATGTCCTAGGGCACCCGGACGCTTCTGCCTGGTAACCATTCGCAGGAGGCGAGATGTATTCGAACCAGGTCACGGACCAGGCTCCGTTGCACCGAGTATACATTAGCCAGGCACGGAGGCGTGTGAAGATAGGAGACGAGTTGAACAGCGCAGCCAGATGAAATACCAAGTAGTAGTACGTAGCAGCAAAGGCCGCCACGGTTTGCGTGCTGCACCGAGGTACTTTTCAGCCGAGGGTGACCTTGGCTCTGCAGGCATCCCGGTCGATCTTGCAGGGGCCAAATGTTCGTACGTACGGAGTACTCGTCAATGTGTGAAAGACGGAGTGTGTTTGTCGACAAGGTTCTCCCGCGCTGCGAGCTGGGCCCCTTCTTCACGGGACACCCTTGGATCGTCGATTTCAAATGTTACACGTCACTGCCCAAGAATGTTCTGGGTCTGGAGAATCTGCCTCGTGGACCAGTGGACTTCTTTCCGATTATCGTGCTCCTCTCATTAACCAACGTCTCTCTGGGAAGCACTCCGAATGTACAATATGGCGGCGTACAGCATCTTGCATCGTAGCTGAAGATGGAAAGGAAAGATGGCTGCATGTTTTAGCCGCGGCAAGTGTTTCGATTTGCTCGCCCCGGGCCACTGTCTGAGCCGTATCAAGATTTTGGGCTCAAGAGACGGGACAGTGCAAGGTTGACCCCGTGTTCAAGAGACGACCTGATTTACATACTACTACAACAATAGACCAGCGTGGGCTACCGGCGACAGATTAAAGGACTGCCTGATCTGTTCCTCGTGCCTTTTGGTTCAAAACTGAAGCATCTGCGTCAATCAGTACAGACAGACCTCATGCGCGATTTTCATGTCCAACCAGGAGGTGACGATCCTTGTAGGACAGGGAAAAGAACGGCGTACTGAATCATGGCATCGACCTAGTACACATATACTGCTACACGTATCAAGGGCATACACAGTATTGAGCACATACAGTAAACTGACTGACTGGGTGTAATTTGCTCTGAGACAGGCTCCCGCATCTACAAGGTGGATGGTGGATGGCCGGATGGCCGGACGGCCAGACTCGACAAGAATTCCTCCCGTAGCATGCTTTCGACTCGCCGGCGCCAAAGCTTTTTGCATAAGAAAATGATGTATGACTACAATGTTGGATGGCTTGCTGTCACAGGTAAGCAAAAGCGTGACGGAAACCCCGGACGCTCTGGTCGAGTTGTGAGAGTATGACGATGTTTTCTGCCACTTGCTTGGTAGTTAAGCAAGCAACCTACCTACCTACCTAGCTATGTATGAGCGTCAACTTGTTGACACCGACTCCTTGCTTATTTCGCGCGGATGCCGCTCGACTGCCCGACTTTGGAAAAGAACGCCTCGTCAAGTACGGGCTACTACGTACGAGCCAACTAGGCACCAAGGTAGGTGTCATGTGCGTTGTGTACGACTACGCGCATTTCAAAGAAAAGCATGCCGCTGGGTTTGAAACAGCCACCAAGATACTATGTAGATTACTCCCTGCTGACCTGTCTCTCCTGCCGGCATCCGCACTTGGATGCTCGCAGACTCCAGAGAGGCACAGGCATGCAAGGGGAACAGGCAGAGTGGCTTTTAGCCCGAGACAATGTCGCCATCATGCCAAATTCGGCCCTGGACAGAAGCGAGCGCTCGGCGCTTTGTGCTCTGCAGGCCGCCCGTATCTGCGGTCCACGAACCGTAAGTTGGGCGGCTGGTCTGGTTTCTTCGCCTGACAGTGAAGCCAAGCTTTCTTCTCTTTGCTTGCAAGTTGCAGGGGAGCTGCCGCCGCCACTCCGCACATTTCTCTCCCGGCCCCGGCAGGGATGTGATTTGTATCATCGGTTACGAGCGTGGGAGAGAACAGGTGCATGTGTTGTTGTCGGTACCCGGACTCGACGGGCAACGAGGCTCGTGAACTCTATTGTTGCTAGCGCATCAAGCAGTCAGACCACACAGTCTATAGCGGTCGAATCGGAGTCGGCAAATTTCCCATGACGGTTTTCGGCATGGTCGGGGATGGGAATCGCGCAATAGTGGTTGAGGGAGGTCCAAAGCCGCCAGCCGCCTGCCATGGCTGGACGATGGGTGCGCCCGAGGCCAAGGCCGACCGACTCTTGAACTCGTCCAGTTGCCGTCGTCATCGAAGGGTGTGCTCCGTACGGGGCGCCGAGTGAGCATCAAGTGTTTGTGGAGAGACAAGGCAACTATGTAAGTTACTAATAGTAGTAATTGATTAGCTCCGGTGCTACAAAAGTCCAGCATCCACCATTCATGTCAGCGTGCAGAAGCGACGGGCCAGTCAGAGACTAGAATACAGCCCTGCCATTGTGACCCTTGGAGCGCTCAAGTCCTTCAAGTCCTTGATGAGGCGAGGCGAGCTTGGATCCGCCGTCCGACTTTGATCTTGTGAGGCCCGGGGGAGGCCACGGCCACTATTTCAAGTTGATGCGGTGATACAACAGCCGTGCCAAGATGGAGCCGTCTGCCAAACCACCTCCAAAGACAACTTCTCAAGATAGCTTGTATGGTTATACTTTCTTAGTCGTAAGCCACCATGGCCGTTGTACATGGTTCAGAGCCAGCGGCATTGCGTCCATGTTTTCAACTGGTCCATACGTACGCTGCCGAAGCCACTGGCACATTGGAAATTCCAGCCGCCATCAAGACCAACCACCGGCAACGCGCTGTTGGCTGGTTACGCTTCCCACCCCGCTTTTGTATCCTCACAAGGTTGTGGAATCTCGGTACGGAGTAGTAGTATTGTGCAGCATCAGTTTCTCCTGGGTTGTGGTATTTCGAGCGAGTGGTCCGTCCCCATGCTGGCCAATGTCTTGGAGCGCCGGAAACAGCAGGAGGACCTGGGTGAATGGGTGAACAGAACGGGACTCCCGACTCCGTCCTTATAAGGAACGGAGCACTATTCGAAGTCTATCCGCACTTCTTTGAGGACCTTGAGGCTGCATCAGTCCCATCAAAACGCTGCGCGCACACCTCCGACGTGTTGTGAATCATGGGCCCCCGGTCAGGGCGTCCCTCCCATGAACTGAGCTGCACGCCATCCATCCATCCTGTATCAAGCCCAGCGCCCCGTCCCACCTCCTCCATTAAACGATTCGTTTGGGCGTCTTGGGTTGGGAGCAGGCGATCTGGAGGCTATTTCGATCCTGCGTCGAGGGCACGCACACATACTCCGTACATGTTCATGCGTAGACGGCGAGTCGAGGGCGCCTGTCAGGTCGTGGGAAGGTTTCTTTCTGTTCTGCCATTGCCATCATATCAGGCTTGTTTCTTGACGACTTTTCTCGGTTGTTGCTGCTGCCCGTGGCTGCCTTTTGCGTTGCTGCATCGCCTTGCATCGTGTGTCGTGTGTCGTGTGCTCAAGCAGCAGGTTTCGCGTTTCGACGACTTCTGAACCCGGCACTGGGGATACAGATACGGTTTCTTCCCGCAAGTATGTACCAACTTGTTGAAGTCGACCAGCCGGGCAGTCTCGGTGCACGTCCCCCCTTCGCTCGTCGGTACTCTGTATGGAAGGATATCACTTGTGCCGACGACTTCACGACTGTAATACGTGGTGTGTTTCATTAGGCGGAATACTGCACCAGCAAGCAGAAAGCCGATCGGGTCCTGCCCGCCAGCCAGTCAAGCCCAGCGGCGTTGTGCTGCCGGGGTCTGGTGTCGCACCCAGATCGAGCCGAATCCATCCCGGCCAGCAGTTGATCCCTGGCTGCGCATGTGGCGAACAAGACCGTGCTCGAATGCTGGGACCACGCGACGCTAGCAGCGAGCTCACAGGCTCCAAGTACCTAGGTACTTAGCTACGCCCTGCTTTTACAGAGTACCAGTCAGCGTTGCCATCCGCTGCACGATGCGCACTGCAGAGAGAGAGAGGGGGGGAACACATATATGCACCAGACACATGCACATCATACAATGCCTGCACCGCATCCCCCGTCACATGGCATCCTGCGTGCTTCCTTCCCGCCCAGGACCTCTGCCTGCTTCGACACGAGCTACACACACACATATATATATATGGCCATCGAGGCTGCTGGCTGGCTTGTGCAGCGTAGTGCCGCATTGTTCTAGCGGGTGTCGCGC